AAATGAGAGAGCACTAAAGCAGATGGGTAAAACCAACCAACCAACCAACTGTTCAGAGAATGTTCTGTACCCAGAGCGCCCCTCCCCCACCACCCCCTGCCCGGGGTGGGGGGTTAGGGGGGTGCGGCTCAGCTCCAGGGAGTCTGGGTGTCATTCCTCTGTGTCTGTCACCAGTCACTCCTTGTCAGCAGCCCCAAGGCAGAGGAATCAACTCTCCGGGTGGATCTCTGTCTTTCTCCTCCTCTCTCTGTCTCTGTCACTGTGTGTGTCTCTGTCTCTGTCATTCTCTTTCTCACACACACACACACACACACACACACACACACACACACACACACACACATCTTTAAGACCTGGGCAGGGTTGTTTCTCTCCTTTGGCCCGGGGCCATAGCTGTAGCCCCAACTCAAGTTTCCCGGCACCTCCCTTCTGGGGAAATAGAGTTCAAGTCCTGACAGCTGTGCCTTGATTAAAGAATCCACTTATGCAGGCTCTGCTGGGACAAGCCGGCTGCCATGAGTAGCTTTTTTCTTCCTCCTAGGAGAGCCTTGTGAGGGCACAGAGTGTCAGAGCTAGGCAGGACCTGCAGACTAGGTCTAGTCTGCTAGAGTCTCTGAGCCTGGGGTCTGTGGCCTTTTTTAAAAGAGTATTTTGACAACTGTATTTTAATATAATTTGTTTCTTTTGTAATTTTCTGTATTTTATTTTTGTTAATTTAAGAACATGATTCTGAGAAGGGGTCCATAGGCGTCACCAGAGTGCAGGTCCAATGACTTCACCTTATTTGGGGAAACCAATGTCTGAAGAGTATACTGGGAGAAAAAAAAAAAACACTGCCCTGGGAGGCAGGAGACTAGGGTTCCCAGCCTGCTTTTATCACTGGCTTACCACGTGACTCTGGGCAAGATAGTTCCTTTCTCTAGACCTCAGTTTCCCCATTTATGAGGCAAAAGAATTGGTCAAGAAGAGAGACAGAGATAGAGAGAGGGTAGCTAGATGGATAAAGATAGATGATAGAGATAGGTAGATAGATAAGTGGATAGACAGATAGATAGAGATGATAGAAATGAGAGCAAACTGGTAGATAAGAGACACAGAGTGCCTGAGCTTTCATTAAGCACCGTGCTATGTCAGTGGATACAAATACGTGCCTGCTAGACTATGTCTGCCCTCAGAGAGCTTACACTCTAATCGGGGCAGAGAGTGCGTAAAGGGGCACTGGGACGGCAGTGGAGGGGGTGAGGGCTCGCTCTGAACTGGGGATGGAGTGACAGAAGGCCAGACAAAGCTAGCCCATCCAAGTCCGGGGAGCTTCCGGGGCAGAGTCCACACTTCTTCGGGGAGGTGACAGCTCTTCTGGAGAAGACAATAACTGTGGCTATTCAGAGATTGCCTCAGAACCATCCTATGAGGCAGGTAATACAAGGAGAGCATGGGCTCTGAAGCTGGAAGAGATGCTGGACCCTGCAGAGCTCTCTCATTTCACTTCTGAGGCCATTGGAGCCCAGAGAGAGAAGGAAGCAGCCTATAGGCCCCTGGCCCCCAGCAGTGCTAGAGGAGTCTGGAACCCAGGCCCGTTTCCCCAGACCCAGCTTTCTGTCCATTATTCAGCATTCTGATGCGTGTCTTGGTTCCTGTGATTTTCTCTAACTTCTAATTCTTTGAGAGTTGACTGTTCGAGGCTCAGAGAGCTCTGGTGATTTGCCCAGGGTCACACAGCTAATAAGTTGTCAGAGTCAGGATCTGCACCCAGCTCTCTCTATCTCTGAGTCCAGCTTCCTCCCATAGCCCATACTTTCTGGGCATCGGAGGACCTCCCCAAAGGCTCCAGAGGGGTGGCATCCAAGAGGCCGAGGACCTCACAGCAGCCGACAGCAGCCCCAGCCCCTGCTCCATTTCACCAGAGCCAGCTTTTCCAAACACTTTCAAGTTTAGAAAGCTCCTTCCTCCCCGATCACTCTATTTGCACAAGGGCAGATATGGTTAGCATAGTTTCCCGTCTGTGAGAGCCAGACTGGGGCTATGCCCCCACCCTGCACACCCATACCACCAGTACCTGGGGAAGGTCCCCTGCTCAAGAGTGGCGGCCTTTGGGAAGGAGCCCTCAGGAAGAGGGGGAAGAGCCATGGGCTTAGAGGTGGGAAGGAGGCTCGGGCGCCAGCTTGGACTCTGGGGCTTTGTCCGGGGCCTCCCTCTCTGGGTATTAGTTTCATCACCTGTACCAGAGGCCTAGGTAATGTCTGTTCCCTGCCCCCTCCCCTGACATTCTCTGCTCTGTGTTCTGACATCCCTCCTGTGCTCTACCCTACAGCATCAGTGCCGATGCAGCAGCCCCCTCCTGCTGACCATCCATCCCCCTTTATTTCTGACCAGGGAACCGTTGACAAATTGGTGTGTCAATGAATGGCCTCTGAGAGGGACTCGGGGATCCTCGTCCCAGCTCCGTAAGGCAGCTCTGAGGTCTGCCGGTTCAAGCCCCCTCATTTTACAGATGAGGAAACTGAGTCCTAAAGAGGGGGAGTTACTTGTCTTACTGGGCTCATCCAAGATGTTCATGCCAGAACCAAGGATCCTACCCAGATCTCTGATTCCCAGAGCAATGTTCTTCCTCCTGCCCCCAGGCTTGACGTCAAAAGCCTCGGTGGGTCCATTCTTTATATGCCAAGAGTTGACTTCGTTGCATCATCAGTCAGTTAGGATCTGGACCCTATCTGTGTGCGCTCCTGTGGGTTTGAAATTAGAGGGACTCATGCTATGACTCCAAGCTGTCTGTGTGTACATGCATGTACATGTGTGCACACGTGTGTGTGCATGCATGTGTGTGTATACGTGTGGGAGTAGGAAAGGCCAAAATGAGAAGATGGCAGCTGCTCACTCCAATCAATTACAATCTCTGCAAAGTCAAGTCCGCATGAAGGGAAATCATATCATGTCACCACGAGGCCTGTGTTTTGGAGAGCTTTCTCTAGTCTTTGGGTGAAAGCGTGGGGGCAAGACATGAGCAGATTTTGAGTGGCATACTTTGATTTGGAAAACAGAAAAAGATGATGGTGATAGTAATGAATAATCGCTCATGAAGTTTACCTTGAAATCAAGCTGATTTTTAACAGTGTAATGGGATCAGGCCCAGCCAGTCCCCTCTCACAAGCTAGTCTGATTCTCTAGCCCCAGGCATACACCAAATCCCTGAAGGCTTGGGTGATAAAAACAATTTCATCTCTGAATTATTGTTTTCTTCCCCTAATTAATTAGTTCTGTGGCAACCAGACCCCTGGGTGGCTACCTGGCCTCCACTACAGGCGTTGGAGCCCCCTGCAGTGACTTTGTGAATAAGGGGCTGGCAGCCAGAAGCCAAGGTGGGGGATGGGGACAGGGAGCGCAAGGGTGTTGGGGAGAGAATGAGTGGAGAAAACTGTCATCACTGATGCTGCTGACGGGCCTTTCAGGCTGGTCGAGACTTCTTTGTCCATTCAGAAAAACTGAGCAGAATACTGGCTGCCTTGTCAGAGAAGGATGATGCCTAGGACTGAGGGAATTGTCAGCATCCAGTCTGAGAAGTCAGGTTAAACTACAGGCTGGGCTTAAAGCTGCACTAAGAATTGGGGGACCCCCTGATTTTGGCTGATCAGTGGGCTCTGTAAAGAGGCCTTTGCTGAGAGGGGAAGAAAGAGAAAGACAGACAGACAGACAGACAGATGGACGGACAGTTCTGAGGCCGGCCTGGAGAGGACTTTGGGGACATGGCAGGTGTCTTCCAGTATCCTGAGGGCCATCATATGGAAGGGGGATTCACTTTGTTCTGCTTGGCCCCAGAGGGCAGAACCAGCAGCAAAGGCAGAATGTTCTGGCTCTGTCGATGGTCCAGCGGGCTGGATGGAGACCCAACTCTGAGGCTGCTCAGCCTCCTGTCAGGGATGTCTTGCTGGAGAATCAGGCGTGGGAATAGGTTGGCCCAGTGGCCGCTGAGGTCCCTGGCGGCTCAGAGGCTAATGAGAAACTGGCCTTCTTGGGAAGAACGAATGTGGTTGGAAGAATGAGAGGATCAAGGAGCAGTGGATCTGGAATCAGGAAGACATGAATTCAAATCCAGCCTTAGCTGTGTGACCCTGGTCAAGTCATTTAACCTTCATCCACCTCAGTTTGCTCCTCTGGTAAAATGGGAATAATGATAGAACCTGCCTCTGAGGGTTTTGTGAGGATTAATTATGTGTGTAAAGTGCTTTGTGAATCTTAACATGCCAGAGAAATGTCCCTTGCGTCACCATCCCTTGTAACCTCGGGGGTCTCCATTTGCTGCTCTGTCATTTAGACCCCTTCATGTGTGACCCTTCTCTGGGTCTGATAGCATCTTCTTTGATAGCCCCGCGGGGAGCACGGGACAGGGGGGGAGTCTGGGGCGAGCACCCAGCACGGGGTGGAGGCAGGGTCTGGGGTGGGGAGTCCTCACTGGCGGATCCCTGGGCGAGAGGCAGAGCACAGCTAAGCTGTCCTCCCGTCTGAGGTGAGGAAGCTGAGGCTGCCTCAGTGTATCCGGGTTACCTAGGTGCTTAGACTGAAGGGAGGATGCCCGGGCCCCTCTTTCGCTGAAAGGGCCCTGAGGGATCCCCTCGATTTTAAAACGTGCCTCTGGGTCAGTCATTTGGGTGCCTTGGGAACCGAGAGTGGAGGCTAAGTCTGGTGGAAGGCAGGGGGCGTGCATTGTTCAGGACCCCTGACTCCCCGCTTCACCACCCAGAAGAGGGAAGGGCGTTTCATCATTCGTTTGGCATTTGTTACCTGCAGTTCGGGTAACCGCTGAGAGCGGTGTTCTTTAATGGAAAGAATGCCAGGTTTGGCCTTTCGGCCCTGGGTTCAAATCCCGGCTCTGTCCTTTATTACCAGGTTGCCGCTGGGGCTTGGTTTCCCTTCCTTACAATGGGAGACGTGGTTCAGCGGCGTCCAGGGCCCCTCCCCACTCGAGTCCAGGACTCTGGGCCGCTCATTGTCCCCGTCCTTCTCAGGCACCATGGGGAAGCAGAACAGCAAGCTGGCCCCGGAGGTGATGGAGGACCTGGTCAAGAGCACGGAGTTCAACGAACATGAGCTCAAGCAGTGGTACAAGGGCTTCCTCAAGGACTGTCCCAGTGGCCGCCTCAACCTTGAAGAGTTCCAGCAGCTCTATGTGAAGGTACCTGTGCGCCGGGGTGGGGGGAGGCAGGGGGCCAGGAGAGGGGACGGGGGGTGGGAGGGTGGGGAGCACCGGGAGGGGGGTAGGGGGGTAGGGGGTGGTCTGGGGGGGAGCGCCTGGCACAGGGTGGGGGGAGGGGGTGCCGTCTTCGGGGAAGACCATGCCAGCGCTGATTCACTCTAGACACAAACGTCCTCCTGCACAGGTTATCAAACAATCTCCCAGAGGCAGAGGGGTCAGGCACGCCCCAGCTCCCAAATGCCTGTGGCTCCCTAAGGGCCCATAAGAAGCACTGAACAATTCAATGAGCATTTTTGAGGGGCTCCTCGGGGCAAGGCCCTAGGCTGGGTACTCAGGGTATAAGCTCAAAAAGAAGTTGCTGCCCTCAAGAAGCTTACCTTCTGGGGGCGGGGTACAATGCAAATTCATCAGTGTACGTCACAGTATCCTAGTTTGAGCTGGCCTACATCTTCAAGACTAAACCTCTCATTTTACAGCAGAGGAAACTGAGGCCGAGTGGAAGAGACTTGGCCCGATAGTCAGTGTCTAAGGCAGGATTCAAACCCGGCACTCTCCACTGCAGCATGCTGCCCTCTCTTTACTGCCTGCCACAAGCTGTCCATGAAAAAACCACTTGGGGGGCAGCCAGGTGGCTTAGTGATAGAGCACCGGCCCTGAAGTCAGGAGGACCTGAGTTCAAATCCGGCCTCAGACCAAACACTTGACACTTACTAGCTGTGTGACCCTGGTGGGCAAGTCACTTAACCCCAACTGCCTAAAACCCACTTGGAACCTTAGCCATTAGGCTCAGTACAAAGTGCCGGATGTGTCTGTTTCAGAGTGCAACCTTTTGGGCTCCCCCACACACCACCCCCAGAATTCCCTTCTTTCTCACTCCCCTCTGGGATGTGATTGTGGTATTGGCTTCCTTTTCCTTTGGGGGGGGGTCAGGGCTTTCCACATTGCCTCTGCCCCTTCACTCTTCACCTGCTCCCAGGTCTAGATCACCCACCCCATGCCTGGAATCTTTGCCTTCCAGGCTGTGTTCGGATGCTGCCTCCTCTCCCATGAAGTCCTCCCTGATTTCCCCAGCTGAAAAAGATCTCTCTCCCTCCTGGAACTTGGCTGTAGGGTCCGTCCTTGGGTCTCCAGCTACTGTGCATCGTGCATAACACACACATAGCCTAATCTCACGGTCCCCCTTAGCAGATCAGAAGGTATTTGAAGGCAAAGACCACATTGTTTCTCAGGAGCAGTAGGAAGGAGGTTTCAAAGAGGTTGATCTAGGGAAAGCTTCCTAACAGTGAAAGGAGAGAAAGGGGCTGTCTGGGGAGCTGGTGGGTTCCTCCTCCTTGGTGATCCTCCAGCACTTGGGAGTCTTTGTGGGAATTCCAATTGTGTATAGGCTGGCTGCTCTCAGACCATGTGATTGATTCATCTTTGGCTCCCCAGTGCCTCTCTCTCAGAGAGGTGAAGTCACAGAGCTGGTCAGTGGCTGAGCCAGGACCTCAACTCTGAGCTCCTCCTTCTAAGTCCATTACAGACTGACCCAGAGCTCGAGAGCCCTAGACCTCGCTCAGCCGCTGACTCCCTCTGTGGCCTCAGACGTTGTCCTCCCTTCGTGTGCCTCAGTTTCGTCTTCTGTAAAATGAGGGGGTTAGATTCGAAGGCGCCTGAGGTTCCCTCCAGCTGGTCCTTTCTCTCATCCCAATAAGTTTCTGCCATTGAACTGAAGGAAAGGAAGGTGGATGGACCTGTCCTGAAATGTGGCACGACTTCTCTGAATGTGTGGACAGATCAGATGCCCCCTGCCCGGGGGGGGGGGGGATGGGGAGGGGGTTGTCAGAGCATCGAGACCTGCACAGGAGGAGGAATGGGGAGGTCGCCTCTAGAAAATGATCTCACAGCTGAGGCTGGAGCCTTCAGAATGTCTTCAGACGGAAGGTCGCGGTTGCTTGTGGCCCAGGCAGCCCCCCTCAACCCATCAGGCTTGGCCTCCGTGGCTAGAGGGGAGGTGAGAGTGACCCACCAGGACAGGGAGAGTCTTAGATGAGCTCCTACTGCCCATCTACAGTCAGCAGGGACTTACTGGGTCTGCTTCAGTCAGCCGTCAATCACTGAGATACTGCTACTGAGGAGGCGGGCAGAGCTCTGTGGGTGATGGGCAGGCTGCTAGGGCAATGCTCTCTGTCTAGGAGAAGCCGCCCCCTCCCCCGTGCCCCTGGCCCATAAGTGTCAGAGGCAGCTGCCTCCCTGCTCCATCTCTTTCCAGGGCAGCCCCCCTCTCCTGAGTTCTACTTTGTCTGTACCATAGAGATCCGAGCCATGGAGAAGGGACAGCCTTCATGGCAAAGGAAGCCAGCAGGAGAGGGTATCCAGACTGGCTGGCCGTTTGCTCCCTCCTGTCAGCCTCTGATCGGCCCATTCAGATCTTGTCATCTTGTGGCGTCCCTCTGAAGAGCCATCCCAGGGTGGGGCTGGGGCCTCCAGATACAGCAAGGAGAGGTCAGGGGAAGCACTGAGCTTCACCTACAGAAGTAGGGTGAGCGGAAAGGACAGGGACGTTAGCTGACAACAGAGAGGCGAGGGAGGGATTATGTAACAGAACCTGAGAGGAGTCGGAACTAGATGAGATGAGGAGGAATGGAATGTTTACAGAAACTTCCATTAGCGTGCTGGGAAGATGCCAATATTGCCACCAGCTGAGGTCCCCCGCTGTGGGCCTCGGGGAGGGGCTGAGCACTGTGGCCTGGCCTGGACTGGTGGGGGGCCGCTCCCTCAGGGGAGCCCCCAGCTTCAGGCCACTGACATCCCTGCCTCTGCAGTGGGTAGCCAGAACCTGGATCCACACCTGAGAGGAGGCACAAGAAGCTTTGACCTGGGAGTCAGGAGAGGAGAGAAGGCCCAGGATGGCTCTCTTACCTGCTGAAGCCGTGGGACACGGCCCGTCACTCAGCGGCTCGGAGGCTGTTTCCGCTCAAATGAGGAAGGGGCTACCCCATCCCAAGGTGACATGGGGAAAGCGCTTTGCAAACCCTGAATCATGCTGGACAGTAGCCAGTCAACAAACTTTTGTCATGTGTTTGACCCTGTGCCAGACACCAGACGGAGATCTTAGGGCCAAACCTGCAGCATTGTCTACCTTCAAATGCACTAATACTTACAAAGCGCCTGGCACACGGCAGGTGCTTAATAAATGCTTCTTCCTTTCCCCCCTCCTTCTAGAAAATTAGATTCCACTGGGAGGAAGGCCAGGCACAGATAAGTAAATAAAAGATGCATAAAAACCAACTCCAGAGTCATTTTGGAGAGGCATTAACAACAGAAGGTATTCAGAAAGGCCTCTCTTCAAGGAGAGGCCCTGGAAGCAAAGGCTCAAGAAGGGGCGATGAGAAGAAAAAGGCATTCCAGGGCTAGAGACTGGCCCCTGCAAAGAAAGGCCTGGAGGCAGGAAATGAAAATGGGGCAGAATAGCTGTAACAAACCAGGAAGGCTCAATCGATCAACCAACATTTATTAATCACCTACTGTGTACCGGGCACTGGGGATATGAGTCCCTGGCCTCCAGGAGCTTGCAGTCTAAGGGGGAGACCGCATGCATAGCCACGTGCCAGAGCTACACGGTGAAGGCTTTGAGGGCCCAACCAGGGAGACAAAGAAAGGAGCCATCAAGAGGCTGGGTGCTAGACGGCCCTTGGGCATCGTCTGGGCCAATCCATGCTGGTAGACCGTCAGAAGAAGGAGTGGAGTGGGTCTTCGGAGGGCCTCCGGCCATCTTTCCTGGTGCTGCACCATGTCACCTTCCCAGACAGTGACAATAGTGGGAGCCTGGCCCCTGAGTCAAGGATGGACCCCTCTGCCTGCCTCAGTTTCCTTAGTTGCCAAATGAGAAGGTTAGACTCCATGGCCCCTTCAGGCTCTAACCCTCTCATCCGTGCCCTTCTCACTTTCTTCCCTGCCCCCAAAATGGTGTAATTAAATCTCTTGCAAATTGTCTGTTTTCCACAATCGTATTCATTGCTGGGCTGAGATAAATGAATCTGGAGAGGTCTGTCTGATTGCCCATTCAGGGGGACAAAACCAGCTTCAAGCGGATGCTCACGCTGGGGGCAGGGCTGACCACTGCAGGGGAATTGAGTTAGGGAGGAAATGACTGAAACCCCCAGGCCTTCCCCGGCCCCCGAGAGCTGGGCTCGGGGGCTGGCTTCTCTAGGGCCAGGATCAAGATTGAGGCCTGGAAGCCGATGACCAGCGCTCAGTCAGTGTTTGTCGAATGAATGCAGGAAGACACGAAGAAGGGAACAGAGCAGAGCCTCTTGTCGCCGGGTCTACTGCTCATGGGCCACGCTTGCTGAGGATGTGGCCCTTCCACCTTGGAGGGTAGCCAGTGAAAGGTTGGTAAGCCCATTTTACAGATCAATCAGTCAGCAAACATTGGCTGAGGCCTACTAGGTTCGAAGAATCAAGCTTATGTTCTACAGACGAACAGACCCCTACACCAGGAATTTCGCCACCCAGTTGGAACAGCCAGGCCCACCATGCTTGTCACATGGAGGCTCTTGGCCCAAGGGGACATTGGCCAAGCCCCTTCCCCTCCCAGGCCTCTGCTCCCTCCTGAGATCACTTCGTCTGACTCAGAAATCCTGGGATCGAAACAGAACATCCACCTGCCCAACCTCCCGATGACGCAGCATTTAATAAATGGTTAGGGGACTGAATCAAATGGGAAAACCTGCCAGTGACCAGCTGTGCACCCATGGGCAAGCCGTGAGCCCCTTGAGTTTCCTGTTCTGTAAAATGGGAATGATGAACCCTACCCTGTCTCCTTCCTGGAGCCATTTGGGGCATGAAATCAGCAAATACTTCTAAAATCACTTTGTAACCATTAAGTTCTGGCTTTGGAGGCTCATTCAACCCCAAAGCCATCATCCTGAGACAGGGATGGACGAGACTGTGGCGGGGGAGCCCTTACCCCCATCTGTCGCCCCTGCTGGAACTTT